GAGAGAGAGAGAGAGAGAGAGAGAGAGAGAGAGAAAATGTGATGGATATTCCATTTAAAATATTGTTTTTTCCGTGGTGTCCATTTGTATGTTTACGTTTAGTGTTTCGTGTAGCTTCGCTTTGTACCTACATTTTGTAATAGGAATTTCATTTGTCACAATAGTTTATAAGTGTAATGCCTTGAACACAGAACATAATGCCTTGCACTGTAAAGCCAATGCTTGCCAATCATGACTTCAATTATTTCTTGATAATTTTCTACACGGGTTTGATAATTTCTCTCAGAAAGGGAGGATAAGGGGATAATGGTTGGGGTGCAGCTTATTACCATATTTTATTATTACTATTATTTAAAAAAAAAAATGAAAGTCGAGTGTTATGGAGGGTGTAAGTGGTAATGTCTAGGACAGTAATAATAATAATGATGATGATGATGATGTTCTTGCTTGTTATGATAATGCTTTTAAGACATAATCTTGTGAGATTCGTGTACTTGATGACCCGTAACCCATCATGTTGACACGATCTTTACCGAGTGTTGCCTTCCCCTATCTATCTCTGTATGTTCGCGCCTGTTTGGGGGCCGCCCTGCCATTCATTCTATGGCTGCTGCTGCAATCTCATACCCCTCCATCCACCACAACCATCAACCACCACCACCACCACCACCATCGACCACCGCCTCCACCTCCACCTCAACCACCACACGTCTGCCGTCGCCACCTTCACCACCACCAACAACAACGACCACAACGATGACGACGACCACATCTGGACGTCTGACCCGACCTGGTGCTACGACCTTTGACCCGCTGCCTTGTGCCGCATTCTGTGTGAATGCTCCTGCTGTGTGTGTGTGTGCCTGCGCTGATGATGACGACGATGATGATGTCAACGTGCGATGATCGGCGTGTGATTGTTGTGAATTAAAGGACCACGGAGGGAGTGGAGGAGGAGGAGGAGGAGGAAGAGGAGATGAGAAATCTATAGAGGATGATGAAGACGGCCATCTGATCTATCGGGCTGGCGACGTCCTTCAGGCTCGATGTAATCACCCCTATGTCATCGTAACTCAATAATAGCTAATGCCTCCTCGTTTCCCCTCTCTCTTTCTCTCTCTCTCTCTCCTCTCTCACCTGCCTACCTACTCTGTATAGCAGGAGTCTCCAGTCTCCCAGTATCAGGAGTCTTCCTCTTCTGCCTACAAAAGTGACACGTCGCTTCTATTTCTTTGGTCGATTAACTGGCTAGTCGGGGAAAGTAGGAAGACTGGTATTTGTCTCCCCCTCCCCCTCTTTTTTTCCTTCTTCTTTTTCATTTTTTTTTGTTTATGTTAATGATTATTGTTATTATTATTGTTTATATTATTGTTATTATTTTTTAAAATCCCCTTTAGAGGTTGGGCACTGGGATTGGGATGGTTTTTTTGGTTGTTTTTTAAAAAATTTTGTCAACGAACCTAGCCACCCCACCCCTACAACAAACCGTAAAGAACAAAGTCTCCCCCTCCCCCCTTCCAAATGTCGATTGAGTTTGATCTGTCACTTGTGTAGCCAGCAGAACTAGTTTGCTTTGTCTGTCCTTGTGGTCCTTCTCTGTTTTGCTGTTTTCTCTACATTTTGTCACCCAACTCTTTTGAGTATGCATTCTTCATAAAGAGCCTTTAGACTGGTTTTTGGTCAACTGTAGCAGGATGGATGGATTTCTTTAAAAGCGATCGAGAATATAGGCTAGGTAGATTTAGTACGTTCTTCATTCTTTCCTCAGATTTTAGAAAATCAACGAAATAGCAACTAGTGTTAAACATGTGTGGTAGTTATTTTTTGTAATTTACTTGTATGCCTTTTCCCAAGGTCCATAAGAAAGACAGAACTAACATATTATGTCTTGATTACTGGGGTTTTTTTTCGCATTTGCACCATTGATAGTGTGTGGATATGATGTATCCCTGTTGCAAATTATTATGGAGTTTCTTTGATCTTCAGTGCTCAGCTCTGAGTTTGTGGTCTACCCAAGGGCTCAGAACTGTGCATTTAAGGACCATTGCTTTACACTAGTTGAAAAGTGAAGAAAAACTCAAAACAAATAACATCAACCACCAAAAATGAAAGAACCCCCAACCCCCCAAAGGAACAGAACATAGTAATTTAAAAAAATTATTATTATTCTACGAACCCAAGAAACTTCTTACTGTAATTTCTATTGGATATATCCTTGTCCTGGTGATAAGACATTGTTCAAAGATCAGGAATAAAACAAGAAAGAAAAAAAAAAGGAAATAAGAAAGACTGAAATACTCATGATTGCTATATATATATATACGTAAGTGGTAAGGGCCTAGGGGTTAACAGGCAATCTCCTCTCCACGTCCTGGCTGTGGAGAGACTTGAACCCGTGCCGAGGCAGTCACTAAGTGAGCCCCTTGCTGGTTGTCTTTCAGATGAGATCCTGTCCACCCTGGGCGAGGGCACGTTTGGCAAGGTGGTCGAGTGCAAGGATCTACACAAGTAAGTGCCGCTCCCCCCCCCCC